TTCTTGACACAGCAAACTTCTAAGTCACTGCAGTTGATGTGGGTTAAAACAGTGAGTGAGGGAGCTTGGTTTCACTCAAGAAATTATTGCTCCTTAAGGTGACACAAAAACTTCCAGCCCTTTGGATGTTTTTGGGAGAAAACACGTTTTTCGTTAGTATGTTCTTTGTGGGTCACCTTCACAAAGTGTAGACTTTGTTCTCTCTTATGTCCTAACAAGGATTCTTAAAACAATGGATTATTGTTATAGACTATAAGTTTTTTTTTTTTTAATTGGTACATTTACCAGTTAACCTTTTCTCTTAACTTCCTCCTTTTGACTTTCTATCCCAGAATAGACCAATGGGATAATGAATGATACAAACTCTGACATTTTAAGTGATGTGTAATGTTTATATTGGGTGTGGTTCAATGGAAATACATGAAAGCAAACTCTAATTTGACACAGTACAATATTGACATCAGTAACCAAATAACTTTTATTATAATGGTATTAGGGTTTGGCGAGATAATTCTTTCCTACGAAAGAAAGTTAAAGAGGAAACTCAGTGTTGGCTTTTGCAGTTTTTAATAAGAACACATTCATGGAATTTTTATACATTATTAGTCCTTTTTTCCTGAAATCTAGAGGAAAATAGAGTGTACTCTGAGCCACCTTGGCATTTCTGCTTCTGCTGTCTCATAATTTGTAGGCTTCTGCAGTGCCACCTCGCCCCGGGCTAGGCTGACCCTGTCTTTAAACCATCTCTTCTTCCTGCTCTCTCAGTTACTTCTGAGCAGGCTTCATGCAGGTGTATCGTGTATATTGCTTTAATGTGAGTACATGGCCATCAACTCGAAATTTATAGCTTTTTGAGCCTGCATTTTGTTCAATGCACAGTTCGAGGCATTATGAGGAGGAGGTGGAGAAAAACCTGAGATGTCTACTCTGTTTAGGATGTCCTTTTCTTCTGTTGACAAAATCTGTGATGCTTAAGTCCTGTGTCACCCTTGAGATTGAGTTTCACATTCTTTTTTTTTTTTTTTTTTTTAATTAGGCAGAGTTAGACAGTGAGAGAGAGAGAGAGACAGAGAGTTTCACATTCTTATCACCCACCTACACACACACACAAACACATACAGTTGCACCATGATCGTATGAGTTCAGTATGATTTTTCTGGCCTTTATGATATTGACTATTAAGGACCTTAAATTGACTATTAAGGACCTTTAAATGAGTTAATGAATGAATTTTATGTACTTGTATTTTTTTTTAATATTTATTGTATTGATTTGAAAGACAGAGTTACAGAGAGAGGCAGAGACAGATAGAGAAGTCTTCCATCCACTGGTTCACTCCCCAGTTGGCCGCAACGGCCGAAGCTGCGCCGATCCAAAGCCAGGAGCCAGGAGCCTCCTCCAGGTCTTCCATGTGGGTACAGGGGTCCAAGGAGTTGGACCCTCTTCCACTGCTATCTCAGGCCATAGCAGAGAGCTGGATCAGAAGAGGAACAGCTTGAACTAGAACTGGTGCCCATGTGGGATGCCGACACTGTAGGCCAGGGCTTTAACCCGCTGGGCCACAGCGTCGGCCCCTGTACTTGTATTTATTCTCTTCACTGCCTCCCTTCCCTTTCTCCTTAACCAAGGCCATTCCAGCTTTGATCCCACCACTTGACTGAAACAATTCTTATTGCCAAGCCAACATTGCTCCTCAGGCTCTGTGCCAGCTTCATAGACATACCACCTGTGCAGCTGTACAAAGCCCCACCCTTAGCTTAAATGCTTTGCCATCACTATCATGAAATTCTTAATTTTTCTGCAAAGGTCTAACGTTTACATTAGGTAGCATGTTATGTAGTGGGTTCCAAGCAGGCCTGATCCTACTGAGTCTCTAAAACGTGTTTGATGGAGCTTGGCACCCATACTTCTTGTCTTTCTGGACACCATAGTTTCCTTAACTCTCAGCCTCTCTATTTATGACTTTGCTCTTTCATATCTGAAAGGTAAGTACTTGCACCCTCTTACTTACTCACTTACTAAGTAATCTCATCCAATTTGGGTGACATTAATTCTTTCTCTAGTTACTGCTTATAGTAAGAATACCATGACCACATGCTACATTTGGATTTTTGTGTAGCAAGCATGATTTACAAGTTATTTCATTAATCTTATCTTTTCTATACTTTTCTTTTCTTTTTCTTTTTTGTTTTTGACAGTCAGAGTTAGAGAGAGAGACAGAGAGAAAGGTCTTCCTTTTCCGTTGGTTCACCCCCCAAGTGGCCACTACGGCCAGCGTGCTGTGGCTGGTGCGCTGCATCGATCCGAAGCCAGGAGCCAGGTGCTTCCTCCTGGTCTCCCATGCGGGTGCAGGGCCCAAGCACTTGGGCCATTCTCCACTGCCTTCCTGGGCCACAGCAGAGAGCTGGACTGAAAGAGGAGCAACCAGGACAGAATCCGGCGCCCCGACTGGGACTAGAACCCGGGGTGCTGGCACTGCAGGCAGAGGATTAACCTAGTGAGCCACAGCACTGGCCTCATTAATATTTTCAATACCTCGTTCTTGCAGATGAAGAATCCCAGGCACAGAGAGGTTGAGTAAGGAATGTGTTCTGGGCAGAGAGAAGTAAATGATAGCCTGGATTTGAGCACAGGGAATCTGATTCTACAGCTTGTTCTTTTTTTTTTTTTTTTTTTTTTTTTTTAATTATTTATTTGAGAGGTAGAGTTAGAGAAGGAGAGACAGAGAGAAAGGTCTTCCTTCTGCTGGTTCACTCCTCAGGTGTCTGCAATAGCCAGAGCTGAGCTGATCTGAAACCAGAAGCCAAGAGCTTCTTCCACATGGGTGCAGGGGCCCAAGCACTTGGATCATCTTCCACTGCTTTCCCAGGCCACAACCAGAGAGCTGGATAAGAAGAGGCGCAACCAGGACATGAGCTGGTACCCATATGGGATGCTGGCACCGCAGGTGGTAGTTTAACCTATTCTGCCACAGTGCTGCCTCCTGCAGCTTGTTCTCTCAGCCATCATACTGTACAGTCAGAATCTTTCTCTCTGCTCCATCTCCCTCCTTGATGCTTGTAGGTCTAATTGGCACCTCACGCTTAGCTCAAAGAAGAAATTCCATCTCCATCTCCTCTTCCTCACTCCAAACCTCCTCCTCTTCTCTATGAAAATTTACCTGGGTGCCCAGGCCAACAGTGTGGTGCCTTTGCTGCTTCTCTTTCTCTCACTTTTTTTTTTTTTTTTTTTTTTTTTTGGACAGGCAGAGGTAGACAGTGAGAGAGAAAGACAGAAAGGTCTTCCTTCCGTTGGTTCACCCCCCAAATGGCCACTACAGCCGGCGTGCTGCGCTGATCCGGAGCCAGGAGCCAGGTGCTTCCTCCTGGTCTCCCATGCGGGTGCAGGGCCCAAGGACCAGGGCCATCCTCCACTGCACTCCCAGGCCACAGCAGAGAGCTCGACTGGAAGAGGAGCAAGTGGGACAGAATTCGGCACCCCAACCAGGACTAGAACTGTAGCTCTGGCCTTCTCTCACTCACTTCTAATATACTAACAAGTCCCCTAGGCTGTACCTCTACCATGTGCATCTTGAATATTAGCTACTTTTCCCTCTTTTTTTTTTTTTTTTTTTGACAGAGTGGACAGTGAGAGAGACAGAGAGAAATGTTTTCCTTTGCCGTTAGTTCACCCTCCAATGGCCGCCGCGGTCAGTGCACCGCGCTGATCCGATGGCAGGAGCCAGGTACTTCTCCTGGTCTCCCATGGGGTGCAGGGCCCAAGTACTTGGGCCATCCTCCACTGCACTCCCTGGCCACAGCAGAGAGCTGTCCTGGAAGAGGGGCAACCGGGACAGAATCCGGCGCCCCGACCGGGACTGGAACCCGGTGTGCCGGCGCCGCAAGGCGGAGGATTAGCCTAATGAGCCCCGGCGCTGGCCCATTAATCATTATTAGACTTATCATTAGTCTAGTTATTCCTACCTACCTGGTTCCTATTGTTGGGGCTATCCTGGGGCTACCTTCACAATGAACTTTTTAGGCAACAATTAGATTTATCTTTCATTTTATTCTTTGTCAAGGCATTCCTGTATACCATTGATTGCATTTGTTTTCCTTATTAACCTTAATAACTTTAAGTTAATGTCTGACACACATGATTTTTTTATTAATCATCAAATGTCATAAAATTACAGAGCAGAAAGTGACATTTTAAAATCAGTTTATCCAACTATTACAATAACACTGGATTGACAAAATTGGAATACAGTTGGAGGATTAAATTATTGTTTTCATCTGTTGAAAATTCCCTGATGATAATAACTGTGGTATGGATATCTAGGAGAATATCCATAGGCTCAGAAAAACACACTGAAATATTTTGGAATAATGTTGCCATGAACTATGCAGTTGACTTCCAGATAGTTCAGAAAAAAAGTTGTGTGTGTGTTTGTGTCAGTGAGCACATGTGTGTTCATATTCAGAGATGGTATTATGTGAGCACAAGAACAAATTATAGAGCAGATAGGCTAAATATTAACAAGCGGACTTGGTTAGAGAGCATGTTGGGGTTATTTGTACTGTTCTTTTAACTTTTCTGTAAGTGTGAAATTATTTCCACATAAAGAGTTTTAAAAAATCATCTAGCCCTTCCAGGGAAAACATTCGGTCTTGATGACATAGAGGTTGAGTAACATAGAGGTTGAGTCCAGTTTTCCAGATAGTTAGAGACAGAACTGAATTTCTGTTACACTTTGCTGCCTTCATCTTGTAAATAGTAATTGAACTCTGTTTAAAGACAGGGATCAGTAATCCTGCTGTGTGGTTACATAGGACATTTACCTATTAGTAATGCAGCTTTGAATATCTTTAAAACGTATTTTTGCTATTACCTGGTCAGTCCTTTAACCAGCCTCTTTATTGCCTGGATACCTTGTTATTAGATATGTTGCCCATTGTAATGAGTCATGCCTGTGTTTGCATTTTAACAAACAGTGGTTTTATTCTTCTGTTTCCTGATAGCTACTGCTTCTTGGGATACATTTCTCATGCTATGGAATTTCAAGCCACAAGCTAGAGCTTTCAGATATGTGGGTCACAAGGATGTTGTAACCAGCGTGCAGTTTTCTCCACATGGAAACTTGTTGGCATCTGCCTCACGAGACAGAACCGTTAGACTCTGGATTCCTGATAAGTAAGAAAACAACAGAACACATAAACACCTGATATGCTTGGGGTTTAGAAATGTGAAGGAAAACTCTTGCCTGGCTGCTCTTGTAGTACTTCCTGGGGGTGCCTTTCCTCCCTAATACCTTCCCAAACTGTGCTTGGTCTGGGTTCCCTATGAGCTATGCTGCCCTTTGAAAGTCAGGCTTCTTTAAGCAATTTTTCCCCCTTGTCTTTAACTCATAATTATGTCTTATCTTTGAAAACTGTTCCTAACCATGGAGTTATGCTTGATATGTCTTAAGTGTTTTTGTTTTGTTTTTAAAGATTTATTTTCTTTATTTGAAAGGCAGAGTTACAGAGAGAGAGGGAGAGATAGAGAGATCTTCTGTTCCCTGGTTCACTCCCCAAATGGCCGCAAAGGGCTAGGCCAAAGCCAGGAGCCAGGAGGAGCCAGGGGCTTCATCTGGATCTCACATATGGGTACGGGGGCCCAAGGTCTTGGGACATCTGCTGCTGCTTTTCCAGGTGCAGTAGCAGGAAGCTGGATCAGAAGTGGAACAGCCTGAACTTGAACCAGGGCCCATATGGGATGCTCCTGTTGCAGGCAGTAGCTTAGCCCATTACACTACAACACCAGCATGTCTTAAGTGTTTTGACAGTGGTGGTGGAGGTTACCAATATCTTTGTAAATCGGATGTAAGCTTTAGATTGTTTCCCTTAGAAAAATACATATTTACATGTGTTACCAGAAGTTTATGATTTATCAACCTCCTAATGCCTATTCATGGAGCCTTTAGAGACCCTTGGTTCCCTATTGAAAACCTCAGTGCCAGAACTTTTCTTTGATTCTTATCACTCGTTTTGGGACTGCAGAATGGTTTCATTAAAGTAGATTTCTGACAAAAAGATAAATCATTGTTTGTGTGGCATCATATCCGGTTATAACAAAACTTTTGTAAGACAGTTTCAAACCTTAGTGGATAGCTCATCAGTTTTAAACAATTATTGAACTGAACCATGATTAAAAAAAAAATTATAGGGGCCGGTGCTGTGGCATAGCAGGTAAAGCCGCCACCTACAGTGCCGGCATCATACATGAAAATAGACTAACCAGCACAGCTCTCACCATAGTCCCATCAACAAGGTTCAGCAGTTATCTGTATTCTGCCCATCTTGTTTTCCTCTCCTACTTTTCTTCCTAGAATATTTTTAGAAAAAAATCTCACATTCCACATGGTGTTATTTCCCCCTGGCTTTCTGGTCATTGCAGGATATTTACAGGATAGGAATTTGGGCATTTTCTTTGACTTTGCTGTAAATGTGACTGACCAAGCCTAGGCACTCCTAAATGAAAGAAAGCCCATGGGGCATTCCCCTACCAATGGACACTTTTTTCTGCTACCACCCCAGGGAAAGTCCTTGCTCATAAATCTGAATTAAATCCCAGTGGTCATTAAAAAAAGCAAAACAAAACCCTTGAAGGGAAGCATGAAGAGGGAGGAAATCACAAGGGAGAAGAGAATAGTTTTTGGGTCCAGGAGGAGAAACATGTCCCAAAATGCTTTGGGGGTTTAGGACTTTTTTTTTATGATGTTATGTTTTCTCTTCTTCTTTTTTTTTTTTTTTTTTGGTATCTTTATCACAGTGCAGCCTTAATCTCCTATTACTAATTCAAAGAAATCTCAATGAATAAACTGTATTAAGACAGATGAGCTAAAAACACAGAGAGTCATGAATTTGTCATAGCTAATCTAAGTATAGTGATTAAAAGTATGTAGATGCCTTTAATTTCTGTTTGTAAATCATGTTGTGGAGCCAAGGCAGTGGTGAGTCAGGGAAATGGGAAGAAAGCCAGTGTGTCAGTTGTCAGTTATCTAGCACCATACCACAATCCCCAAGCTTAGTAACTTAGTACAAAACTGTCATTTCCCACTATTTTGTGGATTGTTTGGATAGTTGGTGTTGGCTGAGATAACTTATGTAGCCTAAATAAGCTGACAGCCTGTGGACTTGATGCTGGCTGTTGGCATGGCTGCCTTGGTTCTTTATGCCCTCTCTCCAGCAGCGGGGCTTTCCTTGGCATGAAAGCTGAGTTTCAGGAGAGTAACAGCAGAAGCAGCGAGGCCTTTTAAGATTGTTAGTCCTGAAACTTGCACAGGGTCACTTCTGCCACATTGTTTTAGTCCAAATAAGTCACAACACCAACTCAGGTTGAAAAAGAAGGGGAATAAACAGATTCTACTTCCTGTGGAGAGGAATGTCTTGCCTGTACAGGGACGACAGCAATGTTGGCAGCCCTATTTGTGGGTCAGCACCACAGGGGTCACTAGAAGGCTGAGAGAGAATAGGTGAGAAAAATATGGAAGCAGATCTAGCCTGGAACTCACTCATCACAGTGGGCGGTCAAGAAAATTTGGCTGAAAGGGCAAGTAAATATGTGAGAGGCCAAGAACTTGTGCTAAGATGAGGAACTAGAAACCAGTTAAGCAGCAGCTCAGCAAACACAGGGCACTCCTATCTTGCTTTCCTATGTGCTTCCTGTTGAGACAGGATACAGTGGTCAGGCCAGCCTACAACGGAGAGGAGGGCTTTTGGGAAAAGGCATGCAGAATAGCCTGCTGGAGTATGAGGTGTGGAACTGAAGATCAGGGCAGGTTTCAAGGACACTGCCTGTCTGGTGGCTTTCTGGTCATTGCAGATGCCGGGCTTTTTCTTTGTTGTCTCCAGGCCTGCTACCAAAATTCAGGCCAAACCATACTCCTCATTTCTCATTGAAATCTCATGGATTGATTCTAGATTACTGCCTCCTAATTTTTATTTATATAAATATATAATTTTCCTGATGTAGTATATATATCAGGTAATGGAAATTAATGATAAAGTTACCTTTGACTTCTACTGGAAGTTACAGTAAGCTTGGATCTGAACCTTTTTTTTTTTTTTTTTAAGATTTATACACTTTTATTTGAGAGGCAGATTACAGAGAGAGAAGGAGAGACAGAGAGAGAGGTTTTCCATCTGCTGGTTCATTCTCCAAAGGGCTGCAGTGGCCAGACCTGGGCCAATCTGAGGCCAGGAGCCAGGAGCTTCTTCTGGGTCTCCCACATGGGTGCAAGGACCCAAGCACTTGGGCCATCTTCCACTGTTTTCCCAGGCCAAAAGCAGGGAGCTAGATCAGATGAGGAGCAGCCAGGACATAAACTGGTGCCCATATGGGATGTGCCCGCACTACATGCAGAGGCTTAACCTACTGCACCACAGCAGTAGACCCCAGATCTAAGAACTTTTATTGATTCTTCCCAGTAGGATTCAGCAAAATATATGGAGCTCTTTTATATACCTGACATTGTAGTAGATGTTAGTCTTAGAGAAATGAATAAATCATCATTCTCATCCTCAAGAAACTTACTATTTAATGGCAGAGAAAGTGGTCTGTTTTTTAAAAAAGTCACTGTATGATTAGTAAGTAAAATAGTTATAGCGATCAGCAGCGATTAAGCCTGTGTAGCTTGGTCACAGGGTTCTGGGGGATGGGCAGACAGCCTAGCCTGAGGAAGCTTAGTGAAAAGGCACAGGTGTGTCTGTGGAGCTGTTTGACTGTTGTGAGTACAAAGTTCAGCGCAGTAGCAGGGTGTCTGACCCAAGAGTAGAAGCGCTGTGCTTTGCTTTGGAAGGAGCCAGTGACAGGTTTACACTGGGCTTTATCTGTTTGGTGATACACTTCTAGCAAGGAAATAAGCACAGAATGTAGGTGACTGGAGGGGATAAAAGATTACAATAGAAAGACCAGTTAAGAGGCTTTCTCAATAATCTAGGTGAAGGATATTGAGGATATATCCACCTTATGGCAGGCAGAGCTGGACTATAAAGAAGAGGGAGATTCAAAGGATACTTAGGAAGTGCAGGCAATGTGGTCTGCTGACTACTAACTGTGGGAGGAGAGGAGTTGGTCTAGGGGTGGATTGTAGCTTCCAGGTCTCTGGCCTGGAGCTAGGTGGACATTGTTCTGACCAACAAAGGTAGCAAATATTGGATGAGGTATGGGTATGTGGGAGGTAAGTGTGAACACTTGAACATCTGAATCAAATGTGTTGTGTCTGACTAAATTCTGTTGTCTGATCTTTTTCAAGAAACTATGCAATTTTCCCCATAAGGTATCACTCTTATAAATATGACTTTATAAGCAGAAAAAGTGCTAAGTCCTAGATACAGTGTGATGTGAAAGTGCTTGGAACTCCTGGAAACACTGACACAATATAGTATTTCCAGATATCACTCAGGAACTGCAGCCCTGTATAGCCTGCTCCAGCCATGTTTTCTGTTTCTTCTCTTTTGATGTCTCATATTTTTTTTTTCTTTTTTTCTCTTTATTGCACCTGTGCCCAGGATAAAAATATATCTGACTTTTCAGGTGTTAGGACTGAAGTATGTGATTACCATTTATCCTTGGCTTTGCTTGGGAATGTAAGATTAGGCCTACAGGATGTGCACACGGCCTCCAGTGCACACCAGGGCTCTCTGCCCTGGGTGGAAAAGGAAAGTCCGCTGCTGGGGGGACATCCTGTGTACAGGCAGATGACATAGCGGACGTCTCCTCTTCCCAACCAGATTGCTCCCGTGTGACTCTGAAAACAGTACTTCGGAGCTACTGATTAAATCATTCTTACTTTATTCTAAGTTATAACTTCTTCATAGATTGCCATTTCTAGAACAAAAATAAGAACTTAAAATGCCTAGTAAAGGTTTGTTAAAAAATATTTTCCTGATTTCTAGTTTAAAAAAAAAACAAAACAGCAGATGCCTTTCAGGAGTGCAGACAGCTAGGCTCTTTGTGGTTAGTTCTCAGTTTTTGAAATGGGATTGATGACGAAGGAAGTGCAGCTTGGCCTTTTCAGACCTTTGTTAGGTTTCACAGAGTTGAACTTGTGGGTGGGAGGGTGGGTACAGTGGGAAGAATCACTATATTCCTAAAGTTGTACTTACGAGATGCATGAAGTGTGTATTCCTCAAATAAAAGGTTTCTTTGGAAAAAGAAAAAGAATTGAACTATTCAGTATGTTCAGGGTCTGCACACTGATTAAGTATTAAATATAATTAAGCAAGTTACAAATATTAAACTGTTCATTTCTAGGAGAGGGAAATCATCGGAATTTAAAGCTCACACAGCTCCAGTCAGAAGTGTGGATTTTTCAACTGATGGCCAGTTACTAGCAACAGCTTCTGAAGACAAATCCATCAAAGTATGGAACATGTATCGCCAGCGCTTCTTATATTCCTTGTACCGACACACACACTGGGTACGCTGTGCCAAGTAAGTGCAAAAAGATTTCTATATTTCTTTTTCTGCTGTAGGTCACATTTGCCTCCCACCTCCAGAAAAGGAGCTTGAGAATGTATTCAGTTACTCAGCTGATATTTCTTGTGTGTCTAGTGTGTGCTGGCAACAATAGTAAACAAAGCATTCAAAACCCTCTGCTCTTATAGTGCTTACGTTCTAGAGAGACAATAAAAATACAGGAATATTGGAGCTAGCATTTGTCACAGTGGTTAATATGCTACTTAGGACACCTTCATCCCATATCAGAGTTTCTGGTTCAAGTCCTGGCTCTGTTTCCAATTCCAGCTTCCCAATAACACACTTCCTGGGAAGTAGCAGAGGATGCTCAAGTACTTATGTTCTCCTGCCTGTGTAGGAGACCTGGATTGAGTTCCAGGCTCTTGGCTTCAGCCTGGTTCAGCCCTGGCTGTTGCATGTATTTAGGGAGTGAACCAGTAGGTGAAAGATTTCCCCCTCTCTCTGCTTTTCAGATAAATTAAAATCAGAATATATAAATTTTTTTAAAAGGAAAATCAACATAGTGGGCTAGATGATAGGAAGTGTTATGGAGGAGAGCAGTGCTGGGGTAAGGAGGGGTCTGGAGTTTTAAATAGGGCCTTCAAGCACTGCCTCACAGGGAGAGTGGCCTTTGAACAGAGACCTAAAAGAGAGGCTTGAACAAGTTCCTGAAAGGAGGTGGGGACCTGGAGGTTCTCTGAGGTAAAGCCAGGGGCAGATGTGGGGGCAGAGGAGGAGAGATCCAGAGGGAGACTGAGACAGGTCAGGGACAGCTCTGACTTGGTGCCTGCATGACATGAGATGCCCTCGACTTCCTGGGATGACTGTGCCTGCTGTGTGGAGAACAGACTGTTGAAAGGCCAGAAGCGGGGAGAAGGTGGTAGAAGGCTGTTGCAGTATAAGCTCTGGCCCAGGCCAAGGTCGGGGCAGTGGAGATGGCAGGAAGTGATTGGGTTCCTGACAGAGTTTGAAGTTACAGCCCACAGTGCTTGTTGTCATGCCAGACGTGACAGAGGGAGAGAAGTGTAGGAGGACTGCAGTCTTGGGCCGCATTCCTGCAGGTGTTTGTGTTGCCTGTCAGCTAACAGTGTGCATTTTCCATTTCCCCATCAGAATCACCTGGGAGGGAAGGGCTCTGTCATTTCCCCCATTTTGCAGATGAGGAAAGTGAGTTTGAGAATTCAGGTTAGGGCTCATTTCAGAGAAAGTGACAAAGCCCCTATAAGTTATTTTCCTCTCTTCAAGGCAGTTAATTGGCTGATGGGCTTGATAACCTTGGAGTTGGGATTCCAATACTGTCAGGGCTCTGTGGCTCATCTCTGGCCTTCTCTGCATGCTGGCTTCATTCTCTCAAACCTGCTGGTGCTGAGGTCACCACAAGCTCTTGGCTTCAATTGTCACAGCTTTGTGACTAGAGAAGAAAAGTGTCTCTTCCCCTGCTCTGGTTAGAAAAGTAGCAAGGGAGGGGCCTGCATTGTGGCGCAGTGGGTTAAGCTGCCGCCTACAGCGTCGGCATCCCATATGGGTGCCAGTTCAAGTCCTTGCTGTTCCACTTCCGATCCATCTCCCTGCTAATGTGTCTGGACCCCTCCCACCCACGTGCGAGACCTGGAAGAAGCTCCTGGCTTTACCCTGGCCCAGCCCTGGTCATTGCAGCCATTTGGGGAGCAAGCTAGAAGATGGATGATTTCTCTCTCTCTCTCTTCCCTCTTTCTGTAACTCAGACTTTCAAATAAATGTCAGTCTTAAAAGAAAAAAAAAAAAAAAAAGGAGAGTACCAAAGGGTGACTGTAGTCCAGCTTGTGTCCTTGACCTGGCAGTGAGATCCTGTGGTTGCCGCAGTTAGATCAGGTGCCTGGCTGAAACCATCTGTCCTGGCCAGGCAAGGGGGTATTACCAATTTCTAACTAGCTGTTGGGGTAGAGAACAGTTTTCCTTACAGCTCACACCCTTCAGTCTTTTTATGGTCTTTTTCTTGTCATCTTTTTTTTTTTTTTTTTTTTTATGGTCTCAAGGGAAGATTATTGCTTGGGAGGTGTTGATTATAATCTCTGGTAAAAAGCCTAAGGAAAATAAGAAAAAAAGGTAGAAGATCATACTTGCAGTCAATGTTCTTTTCTTCTTCTGAATATCTATTAGCCACGTTTGGACACTGGCTGTCATAGTGTGATTTCCATATATGCCATATAACTGTGTGGTTAGAAACATGAACCTGGGCCCAAATATATAGATTGAAATCCCAGCCCTACCACTTCTTAGCCATGTGACCTTTGGGGAAGTTACCAGTATTTCAGTGCCTCAGGTTTGTTTGTTTGTTTGTTTGTTTTTTAACCTGTAACGTTGTTAGGATGCTGATAACAGTTACCTGCCACATAGGTTGTTATGGTACTTAAATGAATAGATATATAGATAACTCTTATAGTAGTGCCTCCCACATAGTAATCGCTGTAAATATCTTAATTGACATCTTCATTGCCACATTTTTAAGCATTAAATAATAATTTTTTCCTTCCTAAGGGATGACATATGTGATGGCCTGAAGAAGCTGGTCAAAATCATTTATATTTGTTGAGAAAATCATGGTGTAAAGAAGAGTTGGGTAGGAGTAGGTGTCCAGTGCAGTGGTGAGGACACTGAGTCACTTGTATTCTACATTAGAGTACCTGGGTTCCATTAGAGTTCTGTTACCAATTCCAGCTTCTTGCACTGCACACCCTGGGAGGAAGCAGAGGATGGCCCAAGTAGTTGTGTCCCTGCCACAACTAGATTGGGTTTCCAGATCCTGGGCATTTGGGGAATGGGTCAGTGGATGGGAGGTCTCCCCACCACATACCCCAGTCTATCTCTGAAATGAAAATAAATAAAAAATGTTTTGAAAGTAAAGAACAGGAGGCAGAAAACAGAGGTGCAGGCATATGGGTCAGGTACTAGGAAGAGTTATAAGCTCATATAATGAGCCTGTTCTAGGTGTCCTTGGCAAAAGAAATCTCTCTTTCATCAGTGAGCTCAGCACTAAGCAAAACCATTGAGTATTGATTTAACTATACAAAAAAGAATGCTTCATTTGCCCTCTATTTATCCAGTATGTCCTATGTGCTGTTCCCTTCCAAAAAGAAGGAAGGTGGATGTTTATAGCTCTCCTACCTATGTATACACCAATCATTGGAAGCGTTGGAGGTGGGGGCAGAATTCTATCTAGATCTGTTTAGTCTTGGTTACTGCAAATTCAGCATGATGTTTGGATTGAGTTTCCTACAGCACTGATACTAATGGAGTGATAGTGACTGACATAGTTTTCATTTTCTACTGGTAAAAAGGCATCCTACAAGTTGTTTGTGTAAAAGAAAATTTTTCTTGAAAGTAAATTCTAGGAGGTTCTTTATTCATCGGTTTTGTATTGAGTCATCTATACATACTTATAAGAAAAAAATAACCCCAATTTGAGAATAACTTATGAAAAATTACCAATAATCTGGAATTTTGTTATTCAGAATATTCTTGTAATAAGCATAGCCCCTTTGACGTACCACCTATTTGGGTTGGGTATGTACAGGCAAAAAACAGATTTGGCCTTGAGGAACTTGTCGTTCAATGGAAAAGAAACTAAAACTGAATAATTTTAAAACATGTGCCCTGTGAGGATAGGTGATAGAGAAGTATACACGTGAGCCTTTGAACTAGATTTGTATGAGGAGAAGAAAGGCATTTCCGGGCCCAGAACTGAGAGTAAAGAGGAAGAGGAGGCAGCAGCCTGTATGTGAGAGGGGGAAAAAGGTAAAGAATCCTAAGGAGGGGATTGGCAGGAGTATACTGTGGCCTGGGGGAAGGTGGTGTGCTCTGGGGACACTAATTATCCAGCTGTGGTCAGAACACTGACTGTGCCAGACCTGTAGGACAAGGTAGTCCAGTGTTCATATACCTACCTGCAGCACATCGCTGCTCATGGGCAGGTCAGCTCCCTACTCTCAGCCTCTGTGGAAAATAAGGGTAGCAAGGTTTCTCTCTGAGGGTGAGAGATCCAGATGGACAGCGTCTAGGACTCAGTGATGACGTCACAGAGCAGCCGCTGAAAATGTGGTTCTCTCTTGTCAATTCCAGAGAAAGTGGTGACAGAACTCTGCACTTCTGTCTGCCTTGCACACATTCTTCATTTCTTGGTAGTGGTAACTGAATTTCTCCTGAAGAACCCAGCCATCTACCATGGCTCCTCTGTGTGGTAAGTGCTGGAGTGGCCCCAGCAGTGTGCATTCAGCTTGGGCTTGCCATGGGAACACAGCATCTTCGTTCTAGAGGAGTCTTTTTTTTTTTTTTTTTTTTAAATTTATTTGAAAAGCAGAGTTAGAGAGCTCTTCCATCCACTGGTTCACTCCCCAAATGGCAACAACGACCAGGCTGGGACAGGCAGAAGCCAGCAGCCAGGAGCGTCTTGCAGATTTCCCAGGGGGCCTAAGCACTTGGGTCATGTCCCATGCTTTTCCCAACCCGTGCTCATAATGGATGCCGACCTCAGAGGCTGCAGCTTAACCTGCTGTACCGCAAGGCTGGCCCAGAAGTGTGAATCTTTTTGGAGTAGTCTTCCTTCTAGATTGCTACCTTTATACTTGATTTAAGCCAGTGGCTGCTAAGGGGCACCATGAGCAACATAACATTGTTTCAGAGGATAGCAGAGCTGCCAGATGAAGACAAAACAGATCGCCTCAAATCACATGGTTTGGTTTCTGGACACAACCATACCTGAAGGTATTACAGTGTGTGTGTGTGTGAGAGAGAGAGACAGAGAGAGACAGAGAGAGAGAGAGAGAGAGAGAGAGAGAGAGACAGAGACAGAGATGTTTAGTTTTCCTTTTTTTTTTTTTTTTTTCCTTCCTTACCCCAAAAAATGCTTCTGTAGGAAGTCATACTGGGGTAGTATGGAATCCTGGAAAACTGGAATCTTTGTATTCAACTAAGACACCTGTTTTAGTTCCAGCCTCATC